CCCCCCCCAAAAAAAATTCAAAATTCAAAGGTCAACATTTTTCCCAAAGACGTATTTTCTAGGGCCTTTTTACAGATGACATAAATAAAAAGACATTGATGAGGTACCAGCAGTGAGTCCAAAGACCAATTGCCAATTGCGTGACGTAATCTATCTCGATTCCAGCAATTCTGAAACTGAGCAGGCTGCCATCCGCTTCAAACTGGTGGCGCTGTAATCGATTTTCCTGTCTCCCACTGAAAAGTTCCCAAAAATTATGATCACGACCCACCCAGAAAAAAACTGGATTACTGTTACAGCACGGTGTGAATACATCCAAAGCTGAGTCAAAAAATGAGAAATTTTTATTTAAAAAAACTAGAAAAACCCAAAAATATATCTGTACCTTATGTGCAACAGGTGTGACTATGTGATACCCTCTATAATACAGTACAGGAGGTGTATACCTACTTGTCATTTGGAACCATTTTCACCGGGGCCTTTTTTCTGGGGACGTTTTTTTAGTGGCCTTTTTTCTCGGGGCCAGTTTTTCCTGGGGCACTTTTACCTACATTCCAGTACAGTGTATACTGGGACAATAATAATGTTTGAAAAGTGTGTAACATAAGAACAAAATAAGAACATTTTGAGCCTGAAATTGGCCAAAAAATAAGAACACTGAGCCTGGGCAAAATTTTACTGGTTCTTATAAAAAAAAAAGTGTGATGTCTATCACCATGGCTGAATTTGACAGTAAAAATGCAGTCTCTGTGCTTTGCATTTTGTGACCCTTTTGTAGAAATAGAAGTTTTTTTTTTGTTTTTGTTTTTTTTTTGTTTTTTTTTTTGCGCAAAATAGGGGGAACATACGCCACTCCCAAAATCCGCCACTGTACGTGGTTAATAAACAATTTTTTTGGGTGATATCTCCCCCTCTACATCCGCTTCTGTTGAAAGTGTTGTTACTGTAACTGTAATCATGGACCTATTAATAAGATGTATGTCTTTTCCCTTTACTTAAGTTGCTGGATAAGCATTGCGTATTGAAAGTCAGATGGCAGTTGTACAAATCGTAGTTATACGGTTTCTGATTGCACCGAACTAAACTAACTTGTCCGGTGATAAAAGTTGAAATCCGTGTGTTTCCAAGCGTATTGGACTCTCCCACTATAATTTGCAGATGTGAATTGTAAAATTGCAAAGTATGAACAAGCTATTGTCCGTTTTTATTTTAAGCATATTATATGAAGTTCCTTCAGATGTCTTCAATATGAAGTATATTGGAGCAACAGCTACGGAATCGGCTAAATTAGTTATTAGAACATACCATTTACTTCCAATACATACCCCTAATTAATAATAAGTAAATCCAAATAATTAATTTTGATCGCTTTCTGAATCCACTCCGCGGCTCCCCTGAGACGGAGTCACATTGTCATCACAGAGGGAGCCTCAGCGCGTAATGCAAAACATGGCACTCAAGCAGAGATTCTCGAAGGACCATTCGCGAGCCCAACATGTAAATAATGTTGCAGGTAAAAGCTCAAAAGCGAAACCTAAATTCAGCAAATTGAATGGAACCACTAATAAAGGTTCCGCTTTGTCTGATGTATTCACTGGAAGAATGGTGCTTATACTGTTTATTGGTAAGTCTTATCTTGAATCGTAATACTAGGTAGGCCTAGGCTAGGCCTCCTCTTCTGTCATCCAATCAACCGGTTTCGGTTTTAAAAGCCAGGCCACGGCACGGAGGATGTGTTACGGTTGTTTGTTATGTCAACCTAGGCCGACCTAGGCGATATAGGCCGGTTATGGGCCAAAGCGGCCGCGAGTCGATAAAACAGTAATTTATAAGGAGCGCCAAGCATGTAGTATGCAATATGTGTATCTTGGACAATAGCATCAGAGTGTGATATGAACATTGTTTTTGTAGATGGAATTCGTATTTTTTGGCAATTTTGATTAAATTTGTACCTCCCAAAGAAAAGAAAAAAAAAAACTAAATATAAAATTTGTTATTTCCACAGTAAAGATTGAAAATATATCCTACATTCTTAAATGTTTTTTTTAGCCAGATCTCATTTTATCTGTCAGTGTTAGTATTCCATGTGTCAGACCCATAATTGTAACCTTCTTCCGACGGTGTAAGTCACACCGATGATATCGTAGTTATCGAACAAGCGGTTGATGAGACTGACACCTGATAGAAACAAGGCAATTCAACAGAAGGACGCACATCTCCGCTATCGAACATAGTGTGTGCGTACAGTCCTTTGATCTTTACTGTGGCATCAACAATCCGATACTAGTTGCGAGTACAGCCGTCAATTATTAGTTTATGCGTGCCATACGTTTTATGGTGTAAGTTACTATTTTATTAATTTTGGGTACACTTTTTTTTTTTTATAAAAACCAGTAAAATTTTGCCCAGGCTCGGTGTTCTTATAGACCGTGGGTAAATCAGCTTAGTTTACGAATTCTGTGACCCACCGATCCGCGCTACTTGGCATTCGCACAAAAATGTCAATACTATTTTATTGAAACATAATATAATTGTCAGCAATCGTAAATTTGGGGAAACTGTAACCAAAAATGAGAATTTATCTTTGAAAAAATAATGTCGCTCACGAAAGCAGTACCCAATCGCAGCACAGTTACCGTACCTGTTAAGCATTGATGAGACGCTATTAGCCAATCACAAACGTTCTTGTAAACTCGGTAACTAATGTAAACAATGTCACGAGGAAAGTGACAATGTGTAGCAATTTGGACGAAAGTTCTCCGGTTTTAGTGGAATATTTCAATATGATATAAGTATACCAGCTTTTAAATAAAATAC